TGAAACAACTTCTTTGCGCGGCGTGCCCCGCATAGTGAACACACGCGATTCCAAACGACGTGTGCTCTGGGTTGTTTTTGTAGTTGTATTTTTTATTGGTTGCATAACGTGCCTCACGTTTATAATCAATCAGTACTTGGAATTTGATGTGATACATCAGCCAAAGAAACTTTCCGACTCACCCAGACCATTTCCCTCGGTCACATTGTGCAACCTACGCCCGTTTACAACTCGAGATATTCGGCAGTTGAAAGCGGCTGGTGTAGTCCCGGTTGATATGTACTTTGAAAACCTAAAACGAATGATATTCAGCTTGAAAAATGAAACTAGAAAACACATGACTATGCTGTGGACATTTGCAGCCTACCTATCCAACCTGCCACCAACTGTGGACAGGCAGAATTTGGGGCATTCCCTTGGAGATATTGTAAAGCGATGCTCGATTTTGTATAAAAGTGGCTCATTGACTCGAGGAACAGAATGCACCAAAAGTGGGTACTGGGCGAAAACACAAGACCGTGTCTTTCACAATTGCTACACATATACTGTATTCGAGAACCGCATGAATACGACTGTGAATATGGAAATGGTACTCTACTTGGACAACCTGGTGGAACAAACGGACTGTTTTGACTGTCAAGTAAGTAGCACTCAATACGGAATCATATTTCCTTAAATTACAATCGTCTTGGCTATTAAAAATGAATTCACATGTGCGTTAGTTCATAAGTCATAAGAATGGAGTGTATACATTTTTAATTCCACGTAAGAACAAAGGGCAGGTAAGATAAGCAGGATCGCTTCGGTAAGGACGTCCTTCTATTAGTCACTCACTGTCTTCAAGCGCATTGGTCGCGTAAGACGGATATATGAGCCCAACTGGAATATTAGGGTTTTTACGCTTTTGTTAAAAATTAAAATATGAATCTACCCTCAGACGGGACAAGGTTATTCCAGCACAATCGGCAAAAATACACAATATCTAGCTTTAGCTAAGCAAAATCATCAGAATAAACATGTAAAATATATCATAAACTAATGTTCATCACCCATTTATTCCCCTAAATTCATTGCAGAAAGGCAGCTTTAGTGACCTTGTAATTTCCGTACTTTTCCCCATTTAATAACATAATTCGTGTGTGACTGAAACACATCACAGTCCAGAGGTCACATCGTCATTAGCCGCCAGCACAAAGTGACTTGACTATCCATTTAAACCCGCAATTTTCTTCCGCGCGAGATAAGATCAGCTGAAGTATCATTTACATGTATGGTCGCAGTTTGACCTTGAGCTGAATTATCACGGTTTTGTAAACTAATCAACTTTACCGACTAAAATGATAATGACCTCAATTATTTTGATGGGAAAAAAAACATGACTGTATTTTTACAGAATGTGAAACTTCTTTAGGTTAGAAGCACATTAAATGTGTTTTGGTAACTTTAGGTTAGTTCAGTTCAGTTCAGTTGGCACAGGACAGAAATCGGGCCAATCGGGCGTCCAGATTTCCTTCGGCGGGATGCTACCTTCATTTGACCTCACTTGACCCCAAAGGGTTCACAATGTGGCTGCTAAAAACGATTTGTTAGCCAGGTATGATCAAAATGCCTTCCGTGTTTGGAACACCACAACATAGCAATAGAGAAAGGGTGACATCTAATATTGGAGGAAATTGCACCAATGCACAAACGTTCCTTTTTTTCTGACATAACGCTTCATGCAGTTGAGTGCCACAGGATAGTGCATGGATGTGGTTCAGTTGATTTTGGCCACATCGTGATGAATTATCACAGGAGTTAATCCAAACATCCGGAGCCGGAAGTGATGTAAAGCCGTACACTGTAATAAATTTAAAAAAACTTGATATATAAAAGCCTGATCATTCGTCAGTTAAATTTAGTGTTCTCGTGATTTTTCAGTTAGCACAAAGGAGAAATTTGAAGAGACCAACTAAATGTTTCAGTTTGAACCGTAGTCCAGGGAGTTTTTCTACAAAAGGTGTTTCAGTCATCTGAGTTGGTTTTATCAATGATCGAACACGAATAATTTGCATGAAGCATAAATTTGAGGGCATGCTCATGGTTCATTCTGTTCCGGTTAATATTCAGATTGTGCAAACAATGCGCGCCTAAAACAGTCGTGCCAGTTTATCGAAGGCTTCCTGACCCAATGTGTTCAGTAAGAAATATTGCGAACTGGTTGTTTGAGGTTAGTGTACCTGCCAAGTCATGGGCGCAAATTTCTCTGATTGCATTATCCTACAGAAAAATGGCATGTGAATAGAAGCCTTAAAGTATGAGAGAAATAGACTTGTAAAACACTATTTCGTATCTTTCTGGTTAGTAAGACCACTCAACTAATTCACACGTGCTACGTGGAGAAAACATTGATTATTTGTGTTGTAAGAAATTATTCTTAAGTTTGATCTATCAACCAGTGTTTTGAAGTGGTGGTTGTGACGGTTGTTTTCTTGTACTGTTGATGCTGCTGTAATCTTTATGATTTATGACCGATTTCCCTCCCTTATCAACAGGATCGGGTAATGGCCAGTCAGTTAACAGGTGCTCGATTACTGCTTCATCCACGAGCTTCCTATCCACGAGTGGCGGAAGACGGAATAAATTTGATGCCAGGAACATTGACAGATATTCGATTCAGTGTGAATGAATGGTCCATGATGGAGCCACCACATGGGCGTTGTAGCAAAGTAACACCGGATGTGATCTCGTTCAATCAGGTTACTTATAGCTATTCGGAAGAAGCATGCAATCAGGCTACTCAGCAGGAACGTATTGCACAACGATGTAACTGTTTGACACAAGATCTGCCTGTACCCACACATCTGATGCACAAAGGTTTGAGAAAATGTCAGGATTTCAAATTTCCGGCCACATACGCTGTTCTACAAGATTTGAATTTGACCAGTCAACTTTATTTCAACGACACAGTGATCGACAACTACGTTCGATTCGCCGGCTGCTCTGCTCAAACCGGTGCCGAATTGGACAGTCAGAGTATCGGTTGTCGACCAGCTTGCTTGCGGTACACATACAAGCCAAGCATCACAGCAGCGCAGTGGCCGACAAAAACATTCCTTACTTGGTTTGTGACCAAGGTAAGATTTATTTGATATGGTTTATACTTTGTATGCAATTTTTATATTTTACTTTGGTTTACAGCAAGTTTTCTCGAAAGCCAAATGGAAACTGTAGATATTTTTAACGTGTTATAATGTCATCGTGTTTATGGTTGATTGATTTTTAAAGCACGTTGATTATCAGACGGGAAAATGCTTCTTAAGGAATCAAAGCTGTTGCGTAAAACCTGACCGTCTAAAGCATGAGAATAAAACATTCTAATTTTGTCTGTTTATCGATAATGTTTTTAGGGATTGTATACTTCCGGCAACTTTGTGATCCGGTGCAAAATATATTTTCATGTTTGACCTTTAATTTTACTTCCTTTTTATGGAATATACAATGGAAAATGTTCATTACTGAGTGTTCGGCCAATCAAATGACTACCACACAAAACGCAGAAAATGGGTTGTCAGGTGGCAGTGGCGGTATTCGAATACACGTCGTCCGAGGCGATAATTTGGTGATCATTACTGCTTGACCACTATAATAGACAGACCTATTCAAATAATAGTTTCCCACCGCATATTAAATTAACTCGTTTGTACATACCGCTTGTTATCAGCGGTATCTATTGTCGAGGTAACAACACAAACTTTCTATTAGATTAGGCATTGAGAGTTTGCTCAAATTCATAAGTGTGATTATTGTTTTACCAATCCCAGTACGTTTCACTTATTAAAACTTAAAAGTCTTCCTCAGTGCACATAGTAGACATGTTTAATAAAAAAATATGCAGATTTTGATGGTTATAGATTGGGAGAACATCTTGAGGACAAAACGATTGCACACATCATATTTCATCCCCTTTTGGCTACGGTTTGTAAGAATTCATTTGGCATCAAAAGTTTACTAAGCTACAAAAGGGTTATCTAGTTCATTTTTATGAGCACCAGGTTCTCGCCTGTTTTTGTTTGATGGGATACAGACAGAGAGAGAATGTGTAGGTCTGTGTGGAGGACATCACGAACAACGCATTGTTTCATTGCTGTTTATCTGCCTAGAATAAACCATGCCATGACGTCCCTCTTGATGCAGCTTCAGTGAACACCTTCAGTCTGGAGAATGTTCTCCGTGCTGTGTGTAGACAGCAATATCTGATAACGCTTTGTCACTTGTCTCAATACAAGCTTACCTGACTGAAACGAGCATTCACGTATGGGGTATCATCTTTGATCAAATCCATACCCATGTAATGTTGGGAGATTATCAGAGCATGTGAACATGTTCAAGAATATCGGATAATTGATTTTCCTCATGCGTTGCAAAACTGAGACGGTTCTTGAACTGTATGGCTCATGAAAATTGCTCAGTAATGCGTTGAAAGGTCAAATCTCAGATCTCTCAAGACAGATGAATATGGAAACCCCAAATAATTTTCATTTGGAATCATGTGGGGATTATTGACGAGGCAGCTGGTACTCGTGTTTTACTCATTTTAAGAAAAGTATGTATTCCGCTACCCCAGGGTATTTTCAATTTGGGAAAACACTTGATCAATGCTGACCCCTTGAAAGTTATCGCAAAAACCACTGACCTCTCATTGATTTTCTAATGTCAACTTTGTAGCGAAAAAATTTCTCACTACGAGTGTTGTGAGATACTACTCACTTATGAATAGTGGGTAACTTTCGATGATCAAAAATTTAACAAAATCATCAAGGACCAAGTGATATGTTTCGAAGAATGATTGCTGACTGCTCTATAAATTACCCTGTGTGTCGAAAAAAATTGCGATGGCACGTTTCTGATCAGGGTATTTTGTTAGGCATGCAAACATTTTATCTCCCATATGTAATCCTCAATAAACGAGTATCCTCGACCAGCACAGCTTTTGGATTTATAACATAAGTAATTGTAACCAATGGTGAGGTTATCTTTATATTTTGCGGTATATTGTTTCCTTTGCTGAACATAATTCGCATCAGAGCGGATCAAATTTGAAAAAATAAAGAAAAACAAAATTTAAAACTTTCTTCTTTAATATCTGGTTTTTAGTACCTGGGTGAGTAGTCTGTTTCAGTTCCATTTACTACATTATCCAAATCGCACAAAATGCTCACGTGCTTCAAATTTGAACACGGCAAAAACGAAAATCGCTCAGTGAGTTATTTGTTTTCTTATCTCACAGGTGGCGCTAATCTTCAGGTGGATCATACAACGTAATTTGGTAAATCTCATTCTGTTACCGCTGAATTGAAGCAGATTCGTTGACCCGCAAATGTCTACTTGATTTTACAACGAAGACAATAGCTTAACACAGCAACCTAACGCTTCCTCCTTTATTACATTAACATTTTGAGTTTATATTCTTATATTACGAACGTTTCTGTACAAGTCAACACAGACTAGTGGAACTAAACAGTGATTGACGTGAGATCTAACCAAGCAGTTTTTTATTAATGATCTTTTGGAAAGATCTGTCCCACGGCCCCTGAGTGAACACGAACTCAGACAACCCGTTTTGTGGTAGCCAATTGTCTGAACTTTAGATCCAAAACACAGTGAATGGTTTTTGTTTAAACTGTCAGTTAAGATATGTGCGTCCGATGGATTTTGATTTACAGAGGTGTCCCCTGTCACAAACGGGCCGGACACGTTTCAAGTAACCAGCCTGAAAATAATACGATAAGTGAATTTTGCTCAAAGCTTTTCGGCCCTTAAGGGATGAACGCAGCAGCAACGGATGGAAGAGTATCTTTGCATATCAAAGTGAAAGTGTTTTGATTAGAAAATAAAAACATTTTTTATTCTCAGGAAGTGTAACCATCCTACTCGGATTTGTGAAACGACAATGAGTTTTGTGTCGGATATTTTCTGTCCGTAACTGATAACATTTTTGTAGTAGGTGATTGGGCATAGTACCGGAACTTTGTCCACCGCGTCCAGTTCCATATTCGTGTTCTTTCAATTCACCGGATTTACAAGTCGTATGTATGTCTGTTGGTTTGGAATAGATATGCTATGTTGCTTGTTGATTTAAGTTCGGATCAAAATGGGTGCATTTTTCGTTTCCGAATTTTCGACTGCAGCTTCAATAGAGAAATGAGGGACACAAATGTCACTTGAGAGAAATGTATGAGCTTTAAAAGAGTAAACACCATTCTCCGTACCTTTGTATGAATGGAATTCCCCGAAGATTGTACCTAAGTGTCCCTAATGACCTTGGATCAAGCACGTAGTAGAAGATCATTCTCAATCAAATTAAATATATTAGTGTAGCATGCGGCCGGTGATAACGTTGTAGAGGTGCAGAATGACCCGCCTCGGAAGCGATTGGTCACTGGTCCACTACCGAAATTTCAGAACAAACGAGGTTGAATCCTGTGCACCTTGTATAACAGTGCATGGGAATGAAAATTATTCCAGGTGAAACAAAAGAAAAAATACGCACCAAAATAGTAGATACTCCAATAAACTATGAATAGCGTACATGCATCACGTCGTGTTGCGCCAACCCATTTCATCTTACTCTGATCTAAGCTCCTTCAGCGAAAATCTTGATCAACTTCTGTCATTCTTCTCCCCATCTGGGTTAACCCTAAGCTCCAGTAAATGTGTTCAGTGGTTATATAGTTTTTCTCGTTCCCCATATCCAACAGACCCCACAGTGATTATCCAGGGTGTACTCTGTCAAATATCTTGGTGTAACCATATATAACAATCTTCAAGGGTCAACCCACATCCACAACTTCATCGGTAAACTGCGGCGCCTATTATTTCAAATACGAAAGCTCAGGCAGTTTACCGCATCCCAGTCAGATATTTCCACCTTTGTTTATCAGTGTGTTTTTCCCATCTTACTCTACTGTTCCCCAGTTATTTTTCCTGTCTAACTCAAACAGGATCTTAATGTTTTACGCCGCGGTCTAACCATTATTAGTCGTATCTTTTCTATTCCTGTGAACGAGTTAGCTTTAAAGCTTTTAGAGTATCACGCAACTTCCTGTGTGAAATCTGCTGAGAGGATTCTCACATATCCTGACCACCCATTGCACGCAGAACTGACACGTAGTCGTTCTCATCATTCAACACGCCCCCAATTCCGCCAAATTTAATCTTAACGCTTACAGCAATTCACCTATATCGTATCCTGCTCGATTACTCATACACAAAGAGCCGACAACAAGTGAACTTCGTCTTAGCCTTGGATTATGAAATGTCCTCATGTCTGTAAAATTTTTTCTCCCCGTTAGTTATTTACATTGTGTATGATCTTCTTTAACTGAAATACGCGCTCCAGTGCTGGCAAAAGTTACACACAATACAATACATTATATGTATTTAGTTCATCCTTTCTTATCAAGCATTGCTAAGTTCCATAATTCTCCACGGAGACTTGTTTACTAGACTCGTGCTATGGATGCAATTCTGAGAATTGATTTTCACGAAGTCCTCAGAATTTGAAATGAAAAGAATATCTTAAATATTTCTGTATGTCATGTGCAATCAGGGCATGGAAAGAATGCATAATTGTTATTACGACAAACACTAATGTTCAATTGACGGATGTCAGTGTACATAAGGCAAAAAAGCTATGCAAGCAATTTTCATTTTCCTGATGAAGAAGTATGCGAATAAATGACAAATTTGTAAAGAAAACACGGTGGTTCTAGCGAACAAGCTCGTTTTCGACAACTTCTTCGGGCTAATACAGTTGTATAATCAAATTAAAATTAAAATGTTCGTCAATGGCTATGTTTGATTCGTGGTTTGTGATTGTGTTTTGGTGTGTGGTTGGGAAAGAATGGGATGGGCGGATGTGATCGTAACACGGTTGGGGAAACGATCGGGATGGGAACGTATCTTCTCGCGTTATGGTCACGGGGCCATGGGAAAGGTCATGTCTATCTCGGGGGTGTCACGTTATGGCCCAGGCAGTCTGAGTGATTGTACGAATCGCTTCTTGAGAACAAACCGATGGGCTCAATAATCGAATGGCCACGGCTTCGGCTGTTGCGAGATGACGTTGACGGGAGGCTTTCAAAGGGTTCGGTGGTACCCTGTAGATGATACAAAATGCGTCATCGTCAACCGGTTGCAATTGAAATCATTTTTCTTGTGCCTGAACGCAACCAGACCGGTTTTTGCTCCTTGATTCTCTTAGACAGTTGACTGGTCGTTCTGCCAACATATCTTACCAAACATGAGCAAAGAAAACAATAGGTGATCATGGATGAGGCAGGAACAGGCAATTTATCTTTAAGGTTCACAAACATCATCGGTCGGTTCACGGAATTAGGTGCATACTATGGCGGCAGAAAAAGTTAGAGAGATCGCTCTTTCTAACCGTCGTGTAACTAGTTCACTATTGTAATCTTCCTTGAATGGGAGTCTTATATATAGTTTTTGCTCTCTACCGTCATTATTTGCTCTCTTTGAGGTTTCTCCAATAAGTTCTTTTCAATGAAACGCTCTGGATAGCCATCACGCAGTAAGATTTTCTTGAGATTTTCTAATTCTTGGTCAATACTGTTGTGTGAGCAAATTCTTCTTGCGCGTTCTGCGAGACTAAGTTCCGTTTACGCCTGATTAGTACGAAACTTGAAAAGCGAATATACTCATCGATCCTTGTTGGTTATCGATAAACCGATCTCCTCAAACTGCCGTCGTGAAGTCCTTTTAGGTTTGCATCGTGGAAATGAAATACACCTTCCGTTTCTAGTTCTGACGTAAAATTGATAGCATTGTGAGCTTTGTTGAAAATTTCTGTCAGTCTTTTCAGTGAGATTTCGTTATTCATCATAACAAAAATGTCACATACATATCGGCAGTACAGTGATAGGGAAGCCATTGTATCTCCAGTTTTCAGACAAAAACATCTGCCACCAAGGATCAAAGTGGAGAATCCACAGTGACCTCATCGGTCTGTTGATATAAATCTGGGTCGAATGAAAATTGCACATCAAATATGCACCTTAATAATAGCGCTTTCAGGTTGATTACGGGGATCCCAATGTTTAGGTCATTTGTTTTGATGTAATCGCATTAAGAGTCGATAGATTCTAGTAGGCGAAGCAGTTGTAAATAGGGACATTACGTCTAGAGAACCCATCGTCAAATCGTTTGTTCTTTTCCTTTACAAGTTCCACCAATTTGAAGGTATCTTTCAGGCTGTGATGAGCAATATTTCGACGAACAGGTTCTGCTAGCCATCGAGCGACGTGGTGCTACGGGGGCGCACTCATATTCAGTATTGGTCTCAATGGGATACCCGGTTTATGCACTTTGGGTAGACCGTATAGGCGAGGAATGGAGGTGCCAGTGGGTCTTAGTTTCTCGTAGATAGACTTCGAAATTAAATTCTGGTCTCGAAGATTTTTCAGAGATGAGGTGATTCGTTCTTTTGTTAATTTATTTTTATAAAAACATGAATCAGAATAAAAACCATTCATCAGCTTAGAAAATTTACTTATTCGCCTAGCATATTTGTGGAGAACGAGTTTGGTAATCGATGGTTGCAAAACCTTCAGCATTTGCTCCGCAATAAGACTTGAACGGGAATGTCGTTGGAAAAGGGCCCCGTTCATAAGAAACATCCACTTTCCTTTCACAGCAGAAACACTTACGCATGCGACAAATTTCCAGTTCCACAACTGATCGTGTAATTTCGAAAACTAATTTCCGAAAGAACCAACATATACCCTACTTGTGCGTATATTCTTCTCTCTCTTTCTTTGAATATGGGTTCTGTTTACTAAGCACGACTGTTTTGGTTTCAAATAAAAAACGTGAAGCCAATACAGTGACATTTGATAAAACGTCGAAACCAAACTGCCAGATGACAGAAATTGAAAAATCTCTCTTCCAAGTCCACAAGGAATCTGAAATCCACTCGTCTCGCTTCTTTCTGATAGTGACATGCATTCCAGATAAGAGACAGCGAAATAACGTGTGCCCATTTACACCCTAGATGAGTTAAAAAAGGGTTCTGCTAGTAATTGTTTGTCAGTTTATTATTATTTTCTTTACATTGAACCAAAAGTATTGTGTGCGGACCAAGACGTTCCGCGGTGGACCCATTATCGGAAATCAAATAAGTGCAACAAATAACCGCGATAAAATGGCGATATATTTCCTGAACTATTCATCTTTGGGCATAGGTAGCATTTGCCATGTGCATGTTAAATTGATGCACAGTTAGTCTCAAGCCGTAAATGTTTCAGTGGGCTGGTGTCTATCCTATAAGTGGTTCCCATGAAACACACGAATCATGCAAGCGAATGTTATATCACAATAGTATGTCTGTCGAAAAGGTCTGGTCTTTCGCATTTTTGTTGTTAGAGCGACGCATTTGTCCCTGAGCATTGCATAACCTACTTCACTTATCGCATCCGAGTAATGCCTTGCAGAATATACTAGCATGGGACTTTCAATGACAAACACATTGAACCGGTTTAACTTGAATCCATGTTGATAAATGTTTTGCATTGGATTGCCCCTCAGTGGAAATTAGTACAGGAAGAAAATCAGTGAAAATGAGAATTAGGCAATAAGAGTAAAGCTTCTTGAAACGCTGAAACCTGTTATCTATTAAAGAATCATTATTATCAATGGAAGTCGGTACTTGGTGTGTGCAATATGGTAAGTACATGGAGGAAAAGTATACGTCTTTCACAATGATGATCCCGATCAGAAGCTCAGATGAACAAACTTCGTTAGTCGTCTCACCAGGCGTAATAATCTCTTGAAAATGGGTTCATAAATTTCACATTCTATGGGACTTACTAGATGAATGTGTCAGAGTGTTGAATAGTTTGATAATTGAAACCCAATGCAGTAGTTTGTCCGGTAAATTACTTTCCGGATAACCAAATGCATCCTGAAATATCCAATAAGGGAATCGCATGCTTGTGAACTTATTCTGTCATAAATGAATGCTTCCAAATTTAAACATTTTCACAGTAAATGCATCATTTTGTATACTCTGCAAAAAAACGTTTTCATCAATCTAGGCCTTTTCAAAGTGGGACAACTGCCACTGAATTTATTGTCATGTTGTTTTTTTCTCTATTTGTACATCCAGTTTCTCAAAGAAAGGAACCGCACATTGTCTGACACGACGAACAACCTGAACGAGACAGAACTCATGATTCAAAAAGAACGCTTTGAAGAATTGCGTAACCTGTTAGCTCCGTATCAAGAAATCTCAGAGCTTACAAAATCCGGCGAATTGGACGAAGCCATCCGAAAACTGATGCAACTGCAAGTTGTTGAACGAAACTTTCTATCCATTGTCATTTCGCGACCGAATTTTGACTTGGAGAGAATCGAGGAAAAAGCTGTTGTTTCTCTAACATCCTTATTTAGCCAAATAGGCGGTTTGCTCAGCATCTGGGTTGGCTTGACATTCGTTTGTATTGTTGAATTGGTGGAACTTGGTTTGAACGTATTTGACACACTTTTGTTGTACAGGAACAGAAAAAAGTTGTCAAAGAAATGAGGTGATAAGTTGGCAACAAGTACCCCCTCCATCCCAGGGTGGGTTATATATTGGCTATGCTTGCCCCAAAACTGCGGTTTGTAATACCCATATATCCGCTACAATCAGGCTCTGAGAACAGCCGAATTCTCCTCCCTTCCGTTTCCGAATAACCATCCATCCTATTTGTACTCCATTCGCATTCAGCTTCCGCCAATAATTCATTGATTCATTCATTCACTCTTCCAGACGTTCAGCATTTCATCGAATAAACCATCCGGGCAAACTTCCATCGATCTTTCTGGTCTCCGATACACATCTGTATTCACCCAACAATCAGTCAATCTTGATTGTCGTTTTTTTAATTCATGTGCACCTCTTGTACAGACCATTTTGAGCAGTCGACAAATATTATTCTCTGAATTTGGCTTTTGGCTTTGTTTCCTGTCTCATCGATCAAAAGATCTAGCGAATTCTCCAGGACAAATAACGCTAATGACATTCAAGCAATACAGATTCGAAATTTACGGATTGCGTGATAAAGGTACCTAACACTGCCAGAGAGGAATCCGTCATATTGCCAAGAATGCATTCAGAATAAATGGTGTAAGAAACAGGCAATCTTGTGTTTGACATATTTGCAATGTGCTAAATTTGCTTATCCCGATCTCCCAGTTAAGGACACTTTCAAACACCTATTAGATTAGTTGAATGAAATTAGTTTAACTGCGATTTCCTGATGTGGTCTTAACACACTTGAGGTAGTCCGTGTCTGACCCTTTAAATGCATCGTTCGTTTAATAAATTGCCAAATCTACATAAAAAACTCAGGAAAAGCCTCCTATCTGGCAGTTACGTGAATCGTTTGTTTGAAGTTGGATTTGATTGGTTTTCTGTGATTGCTTCAATTTCCTCAAAAGGCGGCGATAAAAGAATGTAGCTCGAAGAAATTAAGCTGTGCAAAAGTTCTTTAATTTTACGGCTGTTTGATTGCAACTAAGAAAACAAATCATGCAAGTGCAGTTTTCTTCAGAGTGCAAACGCCATTGGCAACCCTGTGAAAAGCATGTTAACGGGGAAATATTCTGAATAATAGTTAAATGCCTGGTTTTTTGAGCAATGTTACGGGCCTTCTATGCCTTGTTGAACAAAAAGTTCATTTATATAAAACAGTGTTGTAAATTCTTGACGACGGTTGTTCATTAACCCTTGGCGATGAAAGAAAATGCCATGGCACAATCGCCCGTTTTGGAGAAAGGTCAACTTACTCCTTTATTGTGGGCTTTACAATATTAAAAGTTGTGCTATCTATCTACTTTGTGAACAACAATCCAACTTTGCAATGCTCAAGCACCAGGATCATCTCCTGGCACAGGTATTTTCAGATGAAAGAGTTCAGTGCTCCCCGCTGAATGGTGCTGGTAGAAGCCTGTAACTACGAGACCTTGGAAATTAAACAGATTTTCCGTTGGGTCACAATTGTAATTATAGATATGATGATTGTGGAAATATTATTCACGAAAGCGAAATCTGTATTTCAGATTTTCGGGAGAAATTAATGGATATGTGGAATACAAAGTCTTGGACCTGATGGGCTTGCACGGAGTATAATAATGACTAAACATCTGCTATTCTGACATCTGAATGAGAGACAAGTCTGGTCATTGCATTCATTTTATTGTCAGTTTAATAAAGGACACGAATGTGTTTTTCACAAAGAGGCAGTATCATAGACTAACTAGAACTTCGTTATATTTCTGAGGAACATTGATCAAATCGGACAACAAACTAGTTTGAGAAGGTGCGTGCTTTTATTGGCAATGATATTCGGAGGCGGTGGTAGTGTGAATAACTTGTAACTCCATTACTTGACGATCAAATACATTTGTCTTCGGCAAAAAGTCCGCAGTTTTTGTCATCTGTATTCCATCAAAGCCAGGGATCAGGAAACGTGAAGACAAAGGAAGGTGTGAACACATCCCTCACTAATTGAAGTGAAGTATACATCTATTTATTCTAAACCTCGACCACCCTATGCAATTGTGAAACAATGTGAATACTTCACCTGATCGACACAACAGTTTGTTGATCATTGATCTCGAAATATTCATGCAAAGTTGCATCCGCAGTTCACTATGTGCGCGCATGAATACTCATCAGATGAAGCAGGTTCTTCTTCCAACAACACAGATGCAAAACCATTCACTATTACTGTAGACATTCCCTTTTCTGATTCCGAAATAGTCAACATTGAGAGATCTAGGACAGATGCACACATCTTTGGTACTGCAACTGCAACACATTATCGTACTACCGGTTTTGAAGAAACGTCTTGGGCAGAAATAACAGTTTTTGAGCACTAAAGTTCCACAGCGGATAATGCTGGATCCGATAATGACAGGAAAAATGTGGCGTAGCTGGTTTTCCAGGTGAACTAAAAAGCAAAACACGTCCGGTTCCTAGATACATAATAAGGATAACATGTCAAGTAATCTTTAAAACATAAACTAACGCGTAGATTTTTAAAAAGCAAATATAATCCTGTCCGTCGATAACGCAATGCCTTATCTACCTGAAGTCAAAAATTTGAACATAGCCAAGAGGAAGCTCAATCAAATTGTTGACGCACGTAGCATCGCTTTGTACATAGGGCAGTAGGATTCACGTTGCAATAATAACTGCTCTACCTATATAAATGTAAATGGTCAGTTTTGGAATTTATCGAAAAAAGCTTTTTTTGCCTATTGCATTTTATTTTTAATGTCACAATGAATGTTTTTCATATATTCAGTTTGAACACATGCCACTGATTATTGCAATTTCTTCATCATTTTCTCATACAGCTTTCTGGATTTATTTTGGAGAGACATAGGACAACAAAGTTAGGTTGCGCGATTCATGACAAGCCAGATTCCGATGCATCTCCACTAGTAACATACGGCGGAAAACTACAGTTTATTTCGTAGATTAGTGCATCAGGTCACACACGACTACAACAAGGACAAATCATCACACTTTCACCACTGTCAAGGCAGTGACAATGTGACTAACAGTTCCTTTTGTCCACACACACGTCAGGTTTCCGCAAACCTAAGCAGCCAGCGGTTGATGTTATCACAAATGACTCCATTGACCACGCCGTAGCTGCACTGAGGATAGTCTACAAGCGGAGCTAGACCATATTCTAATCAATTCTTGTCGACAACTGCTACCCTGGTAGCTTTATTAGGAAGTGCAGTCGGACATCGGAGCAAAAACTAGCAGTAAAGGCACCCTAAGAAGAAGGTCTACATTTGCCTTACCTTCAAAGGCAACGATATCAGCCTCATTGTCCAATATCGATTGAAAATTGTGGTAAACACGTTTACGTATACAGCCAATCTCCTACAATGTCGCACCCTGAGATATCGCATTTTCCAATATCTTCCCACGTTTTTGAAAACCCAAACAAACCATATGCTTAATAACGTAGTTTCTGACTATGCAATGTCGCATCACTCAATACGTTGCAGTTCCTGATACGTACTCACTTGGTCGTTGACCGATGTTCGGGACGACCACTAACCATCCACCTTGAAATGTTGCACTCAACCAATGGCGTTGTACCTTGTATGACGCGTTCATGGTACTGTTCACAGATCAGGTAATCCTTGGCAGGAAGTCACACTTATGTAAGTGATCGGAGACAGTGTCATTTGACTTCAAAATGTGCAGGCGCCTATTAGTCAGAGAGAAGCAGAATGTATTGGAAATGCTGAAACAGCCTGGTGCAACTCAGAGCTCCGTAGCCAAATCACCTCGACTTTCACGAAAAACTGTCTAAAATGTTGTATCACATCGAACGACTATCGGGGGACTTTTGAACGCTGGAGAATATGAGAAAAAATGCCACCTGAAAACCAATGAAACGTTCAATACAGTAAATGTGGCAACCTTGGCTTGGTATACTGCTATGAGGAAAAAGTACGAAGAGTTCCCCAAGGTGGAGGGCATCGCGTGTACGAAGGCAATCCAGCTAGCCCAAAGATTGCATCAGCATGACTTCAAGGCTTCCAATGGTTAGACAAATTTGGTATTTAATCGTACAAAGTAAGAAACAAACAACTAATTTGCATTATTTTATAGATTTGTTGGGAAAGTTTAGCGATAACACGGTGCAGTGGACGAGTTTCGAGCGGGGTTGTCGCAGTTGATCCATGGATATGCGTACTGTGATATTTTCAATGTAGATGAAATAGTTTTGTGTTACAGGCAGCTCCCAGGAAGAACGTTAAGTTTCAAAGGAAAGACAATTTCCGGATCCAAGAGATCCAAAGAGACGGTCATGTTGCTGCTTTGTCGGAGCATGACTGGAGAAAATATCACCGATGGTGATTGAAAAGTCTCAAACTCCACGATGCCTTCGTGGTATAGATAAAAACTGTCGTCCATGCAGTTATAACTCTCCAAAGAAAGCACGGATGACTTCTGAGTTATCTCTAAGTTGGCTGTCCAATGTCAACCAAACAATGCTTTCTCAAAGGCGCACTATTTCGCTATTTATGAATAAAGCCTGTTGCCATAACAAAGCTGTATTATTCTCCAATGTCAAATTTGTACGGCTGCCTCCGAGCTGCTTTTCAATGTTATAACCAATGGATCAAGGTGGGACTCCGTCTTTCAAATCTTCGTTTCGCAAACATTTACTGGAGTATGCTTTGTCTTTAATGGAAGATGAGCAACTGCTCATGTAAGCCGAGGTGGGCATTCTGTGGTCATGCGTCTGGTCAAGAAAGCTTGGTTGTCTGTCTGCACGTTCTGATCCACGCTTCCATGGAAGCTGGGTTTGAATCCATATTAATTCAGCCGGTTAAGCAGCCACCAGAGGATATGTTTTATCTGATCGAGGACTTTAACCATTATGTGTCTATTCATGAGAGTCTTTTTGAAGAAGAAATCGCATAATTGGAACTTGTTGACGAAGGGGTGGTTATTATTTTCGTGTCAAATCTTTTTTTATTTAATAAATAAATTCGTTTCAA